TTATATATCTATACTGGGAGGTTATGGGTATTGATATGGGTATTGTTCTAGTTTTTGATGGGATATGGATAACGATACTATCCTAATGTCCGAAAATATGTATCAACCAGTGATGATATTACTTCAATCCTAAATAAGTGGATTTGGGATCAGTTTTGGTGATCATGAGATGTGACCTTAGCTTTCTAGATATGTCGAATGTTGATCAACTCTAACTTGAGAAATTTTGGTTTATTTAAAACAACTTTTGTATCATATGGCCAATATACTTCTCAACCTTATCTATTTTCCACATATCTGCCTTGTATATGTTTTATCCTATCGGTTTTCCATTTTAACAAATATGGATCGTGCGTTTTATTTCTTAGTAAATCATTTTTGTATTTGTATCTGATACAGATGGTAAGCACCATTTCTGATGCACATCCAATCTGTTTGCAACCAAGATTTTCATATATAAGGATAAGCAACCTCAGAAATCCTAGTGAAGTATTTAAAGAAACACAGTGAAATAATGAAGCAGCAATTATAATGTTTAGAGTGAACTTTAGCTCCTTAAGAACAAAGGAACTTCCATACAGCTAGACGAGAAAAAGAAAAAGATCCGAGTGCTTACAACTCAACTCTTTAAGAAAGCTAATCAGTTTATTATGTTTTCTCAGGTGAAACTTGTAAGATAGGAAAATTTTCTTTTTGCCTTTTTAATATTTCTTTTGATATTTCTAGCATTATCGGGAACATGCCGCTTTTCTTTGTTGCTTATACACTTCAAACTTAGTCATGCAACACCTAAGATACTTATTGCACCTGCATTGACATGCCAAATTATTGAATAACAATGTTTTGGGTTTTATAAATACCTTGGTTAAAATGTCAGAGTACGATAAAGGCTTCTGTGAACTAATAGGATTAGTTAATCATTCATGAAACACTATGCCAATATCATTTTATCTTAATTTCTTTGAACCAATGAAAATCAAATGATGTGACCATGTACATTTAAATCCTTTGGACGTTGCTTTCTCTTTGAGAAATTTTTTACTCTAACAGAGTAGAAGAGGAGCCTTTTCTATAGGGTGAAGCTACCATCAAAAGGGGTCTTTTATCAAAGGAATATATTGGTTCACAGAAGTAGGACTTTAAGCATTAAAGATAACTTTGGCTCATTAGTAAAGTAGGCAAATCTATGGAATCTAAGCTCCTTAAGAACAAAGGAACTTCCATGCAACTCAACTTTTCCAGAAAGCTTAAGAGGCAGTAGACTTGAATCCTCCTCAGTAAATGGTCTTTTCATTGACATGAAGATTACAGGCATATAAGTGATAAACAAAAGCAAGAAGCTTTATATAGTTGGTTCCTACAAAAAGCATCTCCAATTGTTCTATTTACCCTCAGAGGTAGTTGGTTGCTTTTACGTAGGCATGTTGAAAGGTTCTAAGTTTCAAAACAAATAATATCGAACTAAAAGGACTATTTACTTATTTAGGAACATGTCAACATTTCAGTCTATGGGAAGAGAGAGAGGATTATAATCCTCTACTTTGAGCAAAAACACCAATTGACTTAGTTGAAGATAAAAAAATGAAGTATTTTTTTTTTCTTTCTTCTAAGTCTATGAAAAATGCATCCAAGTCATTAACACAGGAAGCAACTAATAGAAGTGTGCTCTATATATTGTAAATCTTAGAAGCAGTCTTTTTCAGGTTTTTCTATCTATTTAATCATGGCTATTTATAATTAGGAAACGAAACAAGCACAAGGTACTTTCTGCTGCAAAAACTTGAACAGAGATAACCAGATTCACCACATTGATTTCAATTGATGGTTTAATGAACTTCAATTGATGGTGTAATGAACAAATGACAATGATATGGTAACTTCTTAATCGATCAAATGTTCAGAGTTTTAGAGCTCAACCACAGTATGTAGATAAAAGAAATGTTAATGACGTCTGATTCTTCGAGAGTTGATAAAAGAAATGTTAATGACGTCTGATTCTTCGAGAGTTGAATATTTTTTAAGTGTTGCTCTGCTGAACTATAGGCGGGCTTAAGTTTTTTTTTTTTTTTTTGCCCCCCTTCTCAAATTAAAAGGATTCAAACTGACCCATAAATATAGCATTCCATTATATGGTGTATTACAAGAAATAATACATCACCATCTCATTGTACAGAAGGAGAAAAAACCAAAGCAAGCAATCCTTTGTTCAAGAATTGTACTAAAACTGACGACCCTCCTACTTTAATTACAACAGCAACAAACTGTTAATGACTTGCTACGAGCTCATTTGTGATTCTGAGATAACCTGCTGCAAGTACTTGAAAGATCTCTGATAACTAACAAAACCCATGAACCAAAACTCATAATCGTCGACAGTAACAATCTGAACATACTTCTGATTAGGCTTGTTCACATTCTCACTAGGGCTAACTCTCTGTATCTTGCTCAACGGAACAGAAACCTTATAAGGAATTCTAATTAGTTCTCCTTTAGGAGAGGTGAATGTGAGAGACCTGTCACTCCGAAAAGCAATCTTCTCGGTCGAAATAAATAGCAATCCTGCGATAGGACCTGAAGTTGTCGATAAATAACACTGACAAGCCTTCAGA